CCCCCCTCCCCCTCTTCATCCTCCTCTTCCTCCTCCTCGGGTCACCTACCGCCCCGGGGGAAAACGCGCAAAGTGTGTTTCTGCCAGGGTGTGGATTGCGATCCGCGTCGCTCGGTGCGACGACGGGCTGGCCTTCGGTCGGGCGTGTCCCCCATGCAGGCGGATTTTGGACGAAAACTTCTAAACAGTCAAAAAAGAATCAGGAGCTGCCCAAAAGTAGTCAACACAAATCGTCCCCGGGCCATTTGTTGACGGTTCTGGACTTTTCTCCCCGTGTAGATGGACAGGCACGACTCAAAGCTGGCTAGGAGAGACCTCGGGAGGAACTGGAACTGGAACGGGAGCGGCGTGCGCAGGGGCGCGCCCTGTGCGGGCTGCCGCGGGACGTCTCGCATTATCGCGTGCGCCTCCTCGCAGTCTCGAAGCCGCCTGCTCGCATTCTCGCAGGCGCCTTCGATCGCAGTCCCGCACACCACCAGGCCCTCTCATTCTCACAGTCTCGAGACCTCGGGAGAGGGCTGGAAGGAATCTCGGAGGAGAAACGGCGGCCAGCGAGGGAGGGGAAGAGACATCGCGGCAGCCACAGGCCCTCAGATCCTGGCGACCCAATTTTCGAGCCGCGCGGTTGCGCTCCATTTCGGGCCCGGGACTCCCACAGATCGATCCGGCTCGAAAAACGATGCGGAATGATGGGGCTGGGGGTCCAACGGCGATTTGTTTTGCGATGTTGCAATTCTGCTGTAACGTCGGATCTCAGGGAAGGTCGGCGGCAAACGAGGGGGAAAGCCTTCTCAGAGGGCGGCGGGGCTTCTCAGAATCCCTCGGGCCTTGTGAGAATTTATCAAGGTCTTCGGGGAAGGCTGAAACAACTTCTCAGAAGGCCGGTGGACTTCCGAGCCTTCTGAGAAGGCCTGCTCCATCTTCACTTCCCCCTCTCGCTTGCCCCCGAGCCTCCTGGGAAGCCCTCGTCGCCACCACTGGATGGTCCTCGAAAACATGGTCAGCTTGCATCTCGGGAGAGGTCCGGGAGTAGCAATATAGGTACCTTTTGGTATCCCCAAGATCCGCTCCCTCCCGCAAACACGCGAAGCTGAAAAACTTAAGTCCGCCTTCCCGACAGGACGGCGCAGAGCGCACTGCGAAAACCACGCGCTAATACGCTCATGGTGAAGAGAATGCGAGGATGGCACTTATCCATATCGCAGCCTGGGCAAGCAGTGTTCTGGGACCCAAGCGGGTGGCGGCTATGTCTGCACACATATATATATATATATGTATATATACCTATAACTATACACAAATATGTATGCACGTATGTATGGTATGTATGTATGTATGCATGCATGCATGCATGTATGTATGCATGCGTGTATGAATGCATGTATGTGTGTGTATGTAGTTGTGCATTTATGTGTATGTATATATGCATGCAAACGTGCATGCATGTATGTATGTGTGTATGTATGGATGCAGGCATGTACGTATGTATGTATGTGTGTATGTATGTATGTATGCATGTATGTATGGATGTATGTATGTATGTATGTATGTATGCAGGCATGTATGTATGCAGGCATGTATGTATGTATGCGTATACATGTATGTATGTATGTATGTATGTACGTATGTATGTATATATGCATGTATGTATGCGTATGTACGTATGTATGTATTTCTGTATGTACGTATGTATGCATGTATGTATGTATGTGTCTGCCTGTCTGTATGTATGTATGTATGTCTGTATGTCTGTATGCCTGAATGTATGAATGCCTGTCCGTATGCAAGTGTGTATGTATGTATGTATGTGTGTATGCTTGTATGTTTGTATGTGCGGATACATGCATGCATGTACGGATGTATATGTAATTATGCATTGAACGATACACCTATACCTGTTCCTATACGACCACCCTTCGGTGAGACAGCGTATCGTGGAGGAACCAACGTCTTACAAAATCGATGCCACTATCGATGAAACTATCGACGTCACAATCGATGCCACAATCCGTCTCACTATCGATCTCACGATCGATGTCCTATCGATCTTACAGGCGACCTCAACATCGATGTCACTATCGATATTACTATCGATCGTACTGTCGATCTCACAATCGATCTCACTATCGGCATCACGATCGATCTCACTATCGATGTTACTGCCGATCTCACTCTCGATGTGACTATCGATCTCACTCCTGGTCTCACTATCGATCTCACCATCGATATCACTATCGATCTCGCTATCGATCTCAAGATTGTTCTAGCAATCGCACTCGAACGGTCTCACTATTGATCGCACTCGATCGACCTCACTATCGATCTCACTATCGCTCCCACTACCGATCTCACTATAGATCTGAGCATCGATCTTACATTCGAACTCAAGATTGATCTAACCAACGGTCGTAATATCGATCTCACTCGCTCGATCTCGCTATCGATCTCACTATCGGCCCCACTATCGATCTCGCTACCAATCTCGCCACGGGACACCGACGGGACACCGACGGGGAACCGACGGGACCCCGACGGGACACCGGCGGGACACCGACGGGACACCGACGGGACACCGACGGGAAATCGGCGGGACACCGACGGGACACCGACGAGGCAGCCACGGGACAGCCAAGGAACACCAACGGGCCACCGACGGGACACCGATGGGACACCACGGCGGCACAACCAAGCCAGCCAGCGCACGCCCAACCCGCGGGGGAGGGGCGGGCAGCGACGGGCTACCACGGCGGGACAGGCCGACCACCGCCCGCCCACTGGGGAGGGAGAAGGGGCGGTCACATGGGTGGTCCTCCCATCGAGGGGCCACCTGCCCCTGATCCTAAGCCTCCTGCAGCGTCAGGAATCCTGCAGCCAATCGCAGCGAAAGTTCTGATGAAGATTCTATACGGCGCACAAGTGGCTCGCCCTGTTCTGCTCAACGCCGTCTGCAAGACAGCTGCGACCCGCCCTAGCCACAGCGGTGTAATATGCTGTCGCCCGCCCATGCAGCTTCGCCTCGCCGGCACGCAGGACACGAACCCGAAACCGAAACCGATTTCATGGTAGGGGGCTTTCCGTTCCACTTCGATCTCACCGCCCGACCTGCTCTATTGCATACATATATATATATGCACATGTATATACGTATATATGCATGTATAGATATATAGATTCTCATATATATATATATATATATGTAAATAGTATATATACATACATACACACTGGTCAGAGGGGCATCCCATACATCTCTATCACCGCCTGCCGAAGTCCAGAAAGATCAGCTTCCCAGGTGGTGGCTACGGAGAAATCCCAACCTTGGAGCAGTGGACAGCGGCGGACTTCAATCCGTGCTAAGCGACGCGATACCAACGCGCCTGATCTCTAGCTCCTCGACCTCCACGTCATCCGGCACGTTGGTGATGTGCAGGGTGTACGACGGCTTGCCCGTACCGGCCTCCAGTTCGGGAGGCTCCTGCGCGAAGCGCAGAGGGCACGCTCGAGAACAGCTGGCCCGAAGGCTGTGACCATGTCTACACTCACCGTGATACTACCAACTCGCCATCGCTCGGACGTCACGTCCCCGTGCACGTGCCGGCTTGGTGCCCTTCTTCTTCGCGGGATGATCCAAAATATGGGGAAACCAAAAGGCACCGATACCGCTACTCCCCGGACCTCTCCCCGGGGCGCGTTCTGACCAGAATGCCGAGGCGAATCCAGTGGTGGCGACGAGGGCAACCCAGGAGACCCAAGGAGGGGAAAACGGAGGAAAAGTAGCGGTATGGGTACCTCTTCCTCCTCTGAAGACATGCTCCTCCATGAACCCCGCCGAGAAGACCTTGCGCATGTCAGAGCGATGCCAAGACCAACAAGAAAAACAAACACAAAGGAACGAAGAGGCCTCCCCGGCCACGGCGGGCCCTGGTCACGATGAGGTCCCCATGGCCTAGATCTCCTCCTCCTCCTCCTCCTCCTCCTCCTCCTCCTCTGGCCATCGCTCGGACGTCCATTCCCTGTGTGTTGTTTCGGTTTCGTGCGTGTTTTTTTCGCCAAATGACCAAGGATGCTCCGCGATGGTCCTCGCCGAAGGAAAAATGCACACGTCCGAGCGATGCCAAGTCCTCGGAAGCGGCGGCCCGTGGACAGATTCCCTCCACAGCCCAAAATCGTCCCTGGCTCGACGCTTCGGATGCACAGCGGCTACACGCAAGAGTGACTCGAGGCAAGAGGGACCTTTAAGTACGCGGCCAGGGGGGGCCCTTTGGGGACCACGCCAGGCGCGAAAGCCGCTGCCATCGCGCTGCTCTCAGCGATGGGGCGAGCCCCATTGGGCCCGCACCAAAGGTCACTCCGGCGAAGGGTCACTCTTGCGTGCAGTCAAAGACATCAGTGGGGAGCCCACAAATGACGCACGCACGACCACGTGCATGAGGACGGCCCCCTGGCCCGCGAGACCGGCCTCGTGGTACAAACGTTCGCGCGACAGGAAGTCTCGGAACCAGTGTGGGTTCATGCGCGTGTACGTCCTTCTCTCGCTCCTGAAGCAAGGACATTCAGGAGGCCTGGCAGGGACAACCAGGGAGCCTGGAAGTCCTGGGGACACTCTGCAAGGATGTCCAAACAGTTTTTGTCAGCGGCGAGGCGGCGAACTCCGCTCCAGCGAGAAGCTAGAAAAAGGGTGTCTAAACAAACATTGCAGAAAAATGCCGTGCAATGTTGAGAGTGCAAGGTGGAATGGGGGATTCCTGAATAGAATGGAATCGGGCCAAGGCCAGAAGGGTTGGAATCCCCCTGGAAACCCCCGTTGAGAAAGAACTGCAGAGGCCCCGCGGAGGAAGTGACTTCAGGGGCCTCTGGATGCCGACGGGAAGCACCTGGAGTTCCCCTCACGTCTTGGGCGCGTGCTCTCGCGAGAACCCTTTGGACGCCCGAAGATGGCCCAAAAATCACCCCCTAAAGTCTTGAGGAACGCATATCTATACATAAATGCATGTGTATATGCCTCATTCGTTGTTGCATGGTTTCGGGCCACTCGGTCATTCGATTTTCCGGTTTCCTGAGAACGCCTGACAGGCACCGAGAACCCCTCCAAGACAATCGAAAAAGGCTTCCTTATAACCCAAGAGAGCCCCAAGACGGCCCAACAGGGCTTAGAAACTGGCCAAAGAAGGGCCCCATGACGGGCCAACAAAACGCCCTCTGGAAGCATTCAAACCGTGACCCGAAACCGCGGTTCGAGGCATGATCCGAGAAATCCCCGAGAGGCCACAAAAGGGCGCCAGGGACGTCCCCAGAGGCGCCCCAAAAGCCTCTCAAAAATTGTCGCGAAATCTTCCAAAAGCTCGCCTCGGAGGGGCCTCCGCAAACATTCTGCAGAGGACGGGGAAGGGTTCGCAGGGCAATGAACGCGAAAACGAAAAGAGGAAAAGGAATATGACTCACGAGGGAAGGAGAAGAACAGGAACAGCAATATGAGAAGGCAAATGGAAAGCACTGCAAGCAAAAGCGATCGCTGTTTTGATTGATCGAGCTTCTCTTGTGATGCCAGAATGTTAGACGTGAAAGACCCAAATTCATGGCCCGAACCACCTACCCTTTATATACAGATGTACGAATATACATACATATACGCATGTGTATATACATACAGATGTAGTGTATGCATGAGGTGTGTCCATATACACATGTGTGTATATATCAATATATACACACATATACATGTACATACATGTATATGTGCGTGAGGGCTTTCCTCGTTGGGCTCCTACACAGTACACCATATGGAACCTTGCTGCAAGCACAGGCGTGCCAGCTGGTTGAATGTATTCCCGAAACTATCCTCGGTACTGCCTCCAACATGTCTACCCGCCTGCGCGAACACTGGAGGTGGGGCCCTGTGAAGAATCTGGTTCCTCCTTGGTTGGGTCGATATGTGCAAGCCCCTTGGCCTGAAGCCAAGCGGTCCCACGCGGGCCTTCGCGGGGGGGCACCTGTCGTTGTGTTAGGGTCAATTTCACTGCGGGTGGGGAGAATGCAATGATTGGTGCTCAGGGGCCATACGCGATGTCTGGAAAAAGACGAACAAAAAACAACGTTTCGAAGGCCCGTGAACACTTTTTGGATTTGCGCTGAAGCCCTTCCCTGGCGCGTTCCGCGCGGCAGCGCCAGGCGCCGCCAGGGGGGCCCGACGCAAATCTCCCCCAAAATCCGCGCGGAGCTCCAACAGAGGATGTCTGTGCAAATGTTCCCTCTTCGATGAGGTGCGGGGTGTCACTTCCGCCGCGGTGACCGCCTGCTGTGATCTCGCGGTCACCAGGGGAAGTCGCCCAGAAGGATAGAACATGGGGCATGAGTTGGCCTGCCTCCAGAGAACCAAATACGAAACAAAAAGCAAGCGGGACACATGAACACAGGTTGCCGCCACGGGCAGCAAAGGGGGCTGGGCAAGAGCGGTATGCGCCAACAACGTGTGGCCCCTATATACCCCGACGGTAACAACAACATCATCATTACCATCATGGCCAACACCAGCGTCAAACAGCAAATTATGTCGAAAGTCGTCGGAAAACGGCACGCCCGACAACGGGGCTCCGGAGAGGGGGGCGGTCCTCCGTCTTCGCAATGGTGACGGGCCCCTCCTCTTTCTCCTGGCGGCGGCGCGGCGGTTGACAGCGCCCCCTCCTCAATTCCCGCCCTCCTCCTGCGGATCCCCCGGGAAACTCCTGCCCCTCCTCCTCCTCCTCCTCCTCCTCCTCCTCCTCCTCCTCCTCCTCCTCCTCCTCCTCCTCCTCCTCCTCCTCCCAACATCGGCTGTCCACTGTCCGCCCCCGCGCCCGCGCGGCCCCGCGCGCGGAGCCCGGGCCAGCGCGCTGTCCACTGTCCGCCCCCGCGCCCGCGCGGCCCCGCGCGCGGAGCCCGGGCCAGCGCGCGGGCGGGGGCCCATCTGGACGCCACCGCGGGGCCAGTTTCAAGGGGAGGGTGAAAGAATCGGGGATGGACAGACCCCCCTTTAGTAAAAGGTGGTTTAATGAAAACGACCTGAGGCCCAAACTTGGCGGTCGCAAGCCTGGAAAATAACGGCCACGGCGCCCTCTCGAAAACCGAAAACGGACAATTCACTAATCGACGTGTCACGTTTGGGGGTTCTGTCCAGCCCCGAAAAAAGGAGGGGCCACCGCACCTTCCTGCCATCCCGAAGCCCGCGGAGGAGACGGGAGAGGGTGGAGGGAACAGCGCATCGTAGCGTTACGGATGACGCGGTGCCAAAGATCCATCACATCCCTGAAAGACTCCAAGGGTGCCCAACCAAAACAAAGGACAAACAACGTCGTCGGATGATTGATATTTTCATATACCTCATGTACAGGGACAGGCCCGACTTGAGGGTACCTTGCCTGTAACGATGTACATGGCACGCATTGTCGGCAACGCAGGCAGGAGGCGTTAATCCATGAAGCGATGTACATGGCCGCTTGTAGCGATGTACATGACGAGGTAACGTTATAGCCTCTGGACGGATAAAACTGTGCTTGTATCCGGGGTGATCCGTGTTGTAGCTCAAGGCTCGTGGTCTTCACGGCAACGCTCCGTACTGTCGCGGGGATCGTGAGGTACTCGCAGTGCTGGGGCCGCCGTGGCTCAGCGGCATGCCCAACCGGCAGTCCACGGTGCTTTGCTGGCGGCCCTCGCAGTTCAGCTGGCGGCCGTCGTAGCTCATCCTCTGGCCGAAGTAGCACAACTGGTGGCCCTCGCAGCCGTGCTCGTGCCCTTCCTAGTTCACATCGCAGTCCTCGTAGCTTTGCAGGTGGCTCGGGTGGTGGCCGTCGTGGCTCCTTTAGTGGCCACGGTCGCACAGCTGGCGGCCCTCTTGGAACCCGCTTGTGGTCCTCGTAGCTCAGCTTGCAATCCTCGAAGCTCAGCCCGCGGGGGGGGGATATTCATCCAGCTTTCTTTTTTGGGGTTTGCGCCCAAGTATACCTCGGGTTGAGGCGCCCGCGGGGGCAGGGGCCCCTCCTCAACCTCGGCGGCCGTTTCCTCCTCCCTCTCGCGCCGGGCCCGCTGTCCACGTAGCTGTAGTTTTGCGGCCCTCTCCTGCGTCGCCTGTGCATATTCCAAATTGAGTTCGTCCTCTGCTTCGTTTCCACTTCGCATACGCCCTCCTGGTCCTCTGCGGCCATTCCAAGTTCCCTCTTCCACTGTGGCCGCCAGCCCTGGACCAGCAATTCGACGCGGCACTTCTCCCGGGCGCACGAAACGTGGTCGCAGGTGCACATGACGTCGCAGGATGCACGGTCGCACGGGCGCACCTCACCCGAAAAGACACGCCCCGCACATGAAGGGGGGCGCGGCCCCCGGCCCTGGACGCCGCGAGGCCAGAGGCACGGGGACGCCTTCGCCCACGGGCGACACCCCGAGAGGACGCCGGGCGACAGACGAGTGCGTTCCACCACTCGCAAGGCAACTCCTCGCAAGTGGCCTGGATATCCCCCGCGGGGGATCTGCAACAAATGACACCAAAGCAGACATGTGTGTTTGTTCGGACGTTTGCGAGCACACACTTTGCGAGCAGAGGAACGCGCTCGGTGAGGCGGGCCCAGAATCGAATCGACGGGTCGGGCTGGCGAGCAGGACGAATCGGTTCGGAGCAGCTGGGCGGCCAAGTCGGGAGAGGCCGAGTCGGCGGAGAGCTCGTCAGGCCAGCAGGGCCTCGGTCGTGCGGATAGCAAAAGGTACCGATACCGCTACTCCCCAGACCTCTCCTGGGGTGCGTTCTGACCAGGATCTCGAGGCGAATCCAGCGTGGGTACCCTTTTCTACTCTGAGGTCGAGGCACCGAGACCGTCGGAACCGGGGTCGACTCGACTCGGGATCGGAACCGGTCGATCTCGAGGAGGAGGAGGAGGAGGAGGAGGAGGAGGGGCAAACGAGAGGCGGAGGAGGAGGAGGAGGAGGAGGCCTGCTGCCGCCGCTGCCAAGGCCAGGGGACTTCTTTTCTGCGGCACCTCTGGGCGCAGACGAGCTTAGGCAAGGATGCAGGGAAACGATCGGTCGCGTCGAGCGGAGCCTGGACGCGACCAGAGAACATTAGCCAGAGGCGAGGGCTCACAACACGCGCGAGGGGTGGGAGGGACTGGGAGCGCGAAACTGAAAGGGCCTAAATGGCAGCGGAATGCGGCCTCTTCAACTCTCGGCAATCGGCAATCCCCAACGAAGTAGGATACATGCCTGCTGCCGCCGCTGCCAAGGCCAGGGGACTTCTTTTCTGCGGCACCTCTGGGCGCAGACGAGCTTAGGCAAGGATGCGCCGGCTCTGGGAAACGATCGGTCGCGTCGAGCGGAGCCTGGACGCGACCAGAGAACATTAGCCAGAGGCGAGGGCTCACAACACGCAACCTTGCCATACTTTCCAGTTGGTCATCTCGACGAATTACACACTGCAGGGGGAAACATAACTAAGAAAAAAAGGGTGAGAGCTGTCGTTTTGGCGCTTCCGTGGGCCTGGTCGAAAGCGGCCGCGAGTGCGTTGCAAAAACGAGGGGGGTGGCGCTCAGCGTCCTTCGTCTTGAAACCGCCCGCAGCTGCCAACCCGTGAATAGACGTGTGAGGCTTGTCAGTGCGACTACAGACTTTTCCTGAGCACCGACAGGCAAGATGAGCGAGGGCGATTCGATCGCCAAGAACACCGGTAGGTTTCTTCAACGGCGTCCCCCACTGACGCAAGTCTGTAATAATGAAAGAAGATGTGTTCCAGCTGCTGGCTTTCAAGAGACGAGAAAAGAGCCGCAAACGCGAGCGAGCAGGATTCTCGATGGCGACAGGCAAAGCTAGAAAATGCATGAGTTCGAGGATGCTGCAACAGAAGGCGGCCAAAAGATTGCCTACTCGCACAGCCTCGAGATCGCCTGGATGCTTGAGGGCACTCAGGCCCATCAATTCTCGATCACTGCGAAGGCGGGATGGCAGGCAGGGTCGAGGGTGGTCAGGACCTCGAAGGGGCCCGGTGCCCCGCGCCCTCGTCCAAGTCTGACAAGGAGTGCCCATGAACACCCCCCGCACGAGCCCGGCCATAATCCAGCCCAACTTCTGCCTCGCCTGCTGGCTCAAGCCCCACTGTGGACCGCGCGCCTTGCCCCGCTCCAGGACGAAAAAACCGCGAGACCGCAGGCTTTGAGACAGGCCGCCGTGCCCGCTGAAAAGCTCTAGAAACACCTGCGGCCGGACGAGGCGGGCACCCCTGGAGGCCAGGGTGCGAGCAAAGGCCTCACGAGGGCCGCCCGGGGCGTTGCCGTCGAGCCGACAGCTCGGCCCCGGGCGGCGCTTGGCAGCCTCTGCAGCTGCTCCCCCAGGCGGCCCTCCTTCTGGCACCTGCGGACGCTCGAGTCGCAGTGCCACCGCCCCCGCAGCTCTATCTCCTGCAACGTCCGCAGCCCTCGCGCCCGATCGTGGCTTGGCCCGCTGTGCCGCAGCATGCACAGCTCTGGGCCCAAGCGCTCGACCTCGGCGCGCGCGGCCGCGGCCCTGAAGTGGCGGGCGAGGTCCGCGCGCAGGAAGCCGAACACAGGCTGCCTTGGCGGCGCGCTCCTCTTGAGGAACGCGAGCACGCTGTGGAGGAAGCTGAACTCCGCGAGGTCGAACACCACGGTCTCGTCGAACTCCCTCGTCTTGCTGCTCACCTCCTCCTCGGACGGGCGCAGCACGATGGCCCAGCTCGAGATGTGCGTGCCCGGGGTGGGCGCGATGATCATCTCCGGCGTGGCCCGCCCCAGCTCGCTGGGTCGCAGGTAGCAGTGGGAAGTGATCGCGACCCACGCGGCCATCGCCCAGAAGCCCGCGGCGACCAGCTCGAGCGCGATCAGCGACACCACCTCCCAGGGGAGCGGGAGCCGCGCCCGCCCAGGGGCGAGGCGCTTCCACCCCTTCAAGGCCTGTGCCGCCCGCGGCAGCGAGAGGCCGCCCGCGCGGCTGAACTGCGGCCGGAAGAACTTCACCGCCGCCATCGCCTTGGCCCCGCGCTGCGACAGCTCGCAGGCCAAGCGCTCGCGGTCCATCCAGCTGGCAAGCAGGCCGTCCATGTCCTCGTCGCTGGGCACTCGGGCGGCGCCCGCCTTGCAAGCAGTTGCTGCCCACGCCCGAAGGATGTCCTGCCACAGCGCGTCGCACTGCGCGACCGTCTGCGGCGTCGCCGAGGCGCCCTGCAGAATGGCCCCTCCTGTGACCAGGGGCGCAGCCCGCGCCCGCCGGCGATCCGCGCGAGCAGCTCCCCGCGCCGGCGCCGCGCGCACCTGCCGCCGCGCGGCGGCAGCAGCCGCCCCGACGTGGCGAGGCCGGCGCACCGCCGACAGAACAGGATCGCCCCCGTCGGCAGCCCGCTTGCCCCGCAGCCGCCGGGGGGCGCCGGGCGCCCCGGAGGGGGCCGCTGGCGGGCCCACGGACGGCCAGCTCGTCGAGCTCCGCCCCCGCTGCCGCGACATCGGCGCGCTGGCTGCGGAGGCTCCCGCCCCGCACGTCCCAGCGGTCGAGGTCCGGCTCAGCACCGCCCGCGCCCCCGTCCAGCCACGCGACGGAGCATCCGCAACGTTGCGCTCCGACGGGATCCAGCGGGCAGAGGCCTGCACGCCTCCCGCCAGGCACCAGGCAGCCCATTGCCGGGTGATGCGGAGGACCCCCCCAGCCGATGAACGCCCCTTCTGCGACGCACACGCGAGCCCCATGTTGTCGGACAGGAAAATTAGACGACGACCAAAAAAAATCGAATCACGAAGGGCGTGTCGGAGCGAGTGAACGATGGCCCGACCCTCCAGGACGATGATGTTCTCGGCCCGGGCCCAACCTCCACTAGACACCGCCTGCCACCTGCCCCCGTACAGCTCGCCCGAAACCTCCTGCACCTTCCACCTCTCGCCCTCCGAGCTCCCCCCCTCGAAGTCGTCGACGATCTCCGGCTCCTCCGCGGGATCCCTGGGACCACCGAGACAATCGCGAGGTCGAGAAACTCCAGGATGACGAAACCTCCACCTCTCTTCCTCACGACCCGCAGCCCTGACGAGCTCGACGTCGGCCTCCTTCTGGCAGACCCCCCCCCCGCCTCGCTCGCGTCGCTCGCATGCACCATGGAGCCCCAGGGCGCACGAAGGTCAGCCCAAGCCAGAGGGAGGAGTACGGCAGCCCACTGAAGTTCACGTCGAACCGAGGGCGGGATTTTCATGACTCGGGAGAAATACTTCCGGGAGAAACTGTATACGGCGCTGAAGACGGAGAGCATAGGCCTCTGAGCGAGAGCGATGAAGGCATAATGTCCAGCAACCTTTCCGATCTGGCGACCCGTGGCGTACCCCTTCTTCAAGAGTTCCAGAATCCCCAGCCTCAATCTCCAAACGCGCCGACTCTTGGGGCGCAAGGCCTCACGCTCGCCGTCGAAGACCCAGCCCAGCTGCTCCGACACGGTGACAGGCGTCTCGGTCGGGTGCGCCGGCAGGCCCACACCCTCCAGGGCCTTTCGAGCTGCGTCCAACATCTCACCAGGCCTCTCGGGCCCAGTGCCGAAGGCGACGAAATTGTCGACGTAGGCCGTGGAAGCTCCCTCCCTCACATCCGCAGGCGGACGTCCGTCAATGATCTCAGCTGCCCCAGGGAGTCCCCCTTTTTCCAGCACGATCGAGCGGTGCACCCGCTGACAGAAATCGAGAGCGTGCGACCAGCCCATTGGCAGGACCGCCAAGCACGGGCGGACCCAGGCTCGGCTCGACACGGACTGGCCCTCGACGACCTCGACGCCAAGGTCAGCGGCACGCAATCGAGAAAGAGCAAAGTAGCGTCGAAGTTCACCAGGCAAACCCATATTGTAGAACGCGTCGGCTATGTCCACGCCCCCCGTCCACAACTGCTCACCCTCTTGAAGCTCCATGCGACTGAAGCTGGCCCCGCTAGCGAAGCTGGTCTTGTTGGGTTCTGCAAAATGTAAACTGGATCCCCTGCAATCGATCACCAGACGTTGGCGACCGTCCTTCTTCCAAACTGTGAATAGCCCGACCTCTTCGAAGTCGCCCCCGTCGAGCCTGAAATCCAGCATGTTAGCTTTGCCCAGCCGGCGGATGAAGGCGAGGTAGTCTTCACGCCGACGGAGAACTGGATCCAGGTACGGCCGCGCAAAACCCGAGTCCTTCTTCGCCTCAGCGGCATCATGACTTGACAAAACCTTGGAAGAAATGAACCTCCGCACGATATCTGGACCGTCCTTCCCGAGCAGCTGGTCCAGCGGCACCAGGGCGCCACCGACAGCCGGCAAGGAGACGAGGTCGTGCACGAAGGGGGCCACCGAGACGGGGTCGCAGCCCCCGTAGGCGGTGCCGACCTGGAGCTCCCGGAGGGCCACCTCGGACGACAAATCAGAAGGCGGAGCGCCAATCTCCGCGCAGCTTTCGGCGAGGCGCTCCAGGCATAGCTGCTGCATCCTGCTGGGCTCGCCCTCGCACTGCCTGCGAACGAGGTCCGAGCCGGCATCCAGCTGATTGAGCGCGACGACGAGCTCGGTGAGAAGCTCGCCCTGACGCGCCCGATGCCCTCGACGACGGCGAGCAGACCGCGCCCGCAGGGCGCCGCCGGGGGCACTGCACCAGTCAGGGACTGGCAAGGGCAGAAGCGACCGCTGCACGCGTCCGTCGCTGTCCACCAGCCTCTCCAAAGGTTCGCCACCGGGTCGAGGCAACCCCTGCGGCGGTCCCAGCATCATCCCGTCTTGGGAGGAGCGCCCTTGGCCTTCGCGGCGGCGGCCTGCTCCCCCCTCAGCTTCCTGGCGTTCTTCTTGATGCTTGAGATGCGCTCCAAATCCTTCGACGCAGTGTCGAGCAGCTCTGGACGCACCATCGAAGGCGCGCGAGCCCCGCCCATGAAGGCCTGGCTCTCCTCCAAGGGGATATTGCTGTTGTTCTGCTGCTGCTCTGCACTGCGGTCGCCCCAGTAGTGCTCGATCAACTGGAGCTTGCGATATCCGATCTCCGCGCTCGCCAAGTTGAAGACGTCAGGTGGTCCGACACTCCCATGGCTTCAATCATGTGCGAGAGGATGTCGTGCATGTCGACCCCGAAGTCCATTGAGGCGAGCTTCCTGCGGCTTTTTCCACATATCGTGATGGAGGGTTGGGCCACCTTCCTTCACCTGGTACTTCGCACACCAAGCGGCAGTCCGTGGCCCTGGCACCGCGAAGTCGGCCATCTGCTCCTGGTGGCACAGCTGGACCACCTCGCGCCAGTCACGCGCAGGCCCGCTTGAAGCCGCAGCCGCGGCGGGCCCCTCCAGCGTCCGTGCGTCGTTGCCCCGGAACTCCTGCCTGAAGTACGCCACCTCGCTGTGCTGCAGCAGGACCCCGAAGGCAGCGCCACCAGCGGGGAGCAAGAAGCCGCCTCGCCGTCCTGAACGCCAGGCCAGCTGCACCCCGCCGGCGACACCCACCTGGAGCTCCTCCCCGTACGCCGCGAGCCCGTCGACGTCCTCGGCGGCGACCCACAACCAGCCTGGCGGCGCAGCCCCGGAGGACAGCGGAGCGACGGGGGCGCCGTCGGGAACCGCGGGCGCACGCCCAGGGGCGGCCGCCGCGGCCCCCTCCGGCGCGGCCGGGACGACGGCCGCGGCGGCCAATGGCGGTCCGCCCGCTGCGGCAGGCTCCGCCGCAGCTGGCGCCGCCGCTGCGCCCGCGAGGGCCACCGCAGGGGCCAGGGCCGCGACTGGGCCCGCGACCTCCAGCGGCCCGGCGGGGCGCCCCTCACAGTTCGCGGCCGAGAGGTCGAGCTTGAAGGGCGAGGCCGGGAGCACGCCGAACCCCTCGGCCGCCCCCCTGCGCAGCGCGGCCCACAGCTCCGCCGGCGTCGGCAGGCGGCGGAAGCGGTACGTCCGAGCCTCCGCGATCCCCCCGGTTCGGCCTCCCTGTCCGGCAATCGGCCGCACGCTGTGGATGTCCGCGTCCGGCGCCAGGCCCTCTCCCCCAGAGGTCTCAAACAGCTTAAAAATAGCCGGCAAGTACGAACAGCTTTTTTTAGCTGTAGTATAATATCGTTTAGCTGCGGGTTTGGGTGCGCTGATGAAACTGCAAGATAAACGCAGCGCAGGCGTTGTTTTGCGCGCGCGCGGCGTGCGCCGCGCCACTTTTCAGCCGCGCAATATGCAACGTCGATTATAACTACGAAGGGACATGCAATGACGACTGGAAGATTTAATGACGAACGCACATTAATCTTAGTTTAGCCAGCGTAAGCAAGATATGGTGCGACGTTCCCCGCAATCGTGCAACATGGCATATCACCCGTCGTTATATGGATATGCCATTACGTAATACGTTTAAGGATATGTTACAAAGTAAGCACATCTTCGGCGGTGCGGTGGGCCCGAGCACGCGCAACACGTTGCCATGGTAAATAATCAACGCACTGATACATGCCATACCGCACGTTTACGTTACATTGACAACCATATGCGTTGACGCGATGGGGGGGGGGCGAAGTTGGGGAAGGCGTAGAGGAGGCGTCGATAAGACGGGCCAGGAGGCACTGATAATGATAAGATTGACGAAGACAAGGGGGGAAGGGAACGTGGCGGGAGGAGGAAACTCCCTCGTCATAGCATCCCGTTCTCCGCCATTTAGCCTCCCCGTTTGCTTCGTTCGCGCAATCCTGCGTTCTGTCCCCATCATTATCATCCGCGTCGCCCTCCCGCCATGGCGTATTCTTTTCTTCGCATCGTCCCTACCATCTGCGTCCCCCTGTTGATATGTTTAGTTGCATCGTTCTCCTCGCCTTGTTGTCGCCCAGCTCCCTTCCTTCCGACGATGCCGCGACCTCCCGATCATGTAGTCATTCTCTATTCTTCACCGTTCCGCCCGCTCGTCCCTTGTCCGTTATTGCTTCAGTGTTCGGCCGCGAATGCGGCGTACATGCGGTGTTCAGCTGTGCCTAGGCCCCGTATGGGGCGAAAAGGTCTGGCAACGCTGCGTCGTCATCCGACTATGGTTCGCCAGGTTCGGTCGGGCGGGGAGGGCACGAGTTGCTAGATGCGAAAGGGTTGACAGCCAGGAGGTCCCCCCCGCCACTGCGGTGAACGCCGAGCTTGAACATGTTTTGGGCACTGTGGCTGAAAATGACAAGACGCCCCGCAAGTAGTTACCCACCATGTCTACCATCACCCCCGTTTCCCCCACCTAGCGCCACACGTGCGCACCAAACCTACACGAAGCATCACACCGTGCAGGAGTATCAGACCGTCAACGCGCGCGTTGACGATGCAGTGATGCATCGTTGAGGGTTGGCACCCTGAGTGGACGCGAGAGGTGGGCAAGGGGGAGCAGGATGATAGGATACGTGGTGGATGTAGAATATTTCAGTGCCTGGTTATTTCGGACCACGCACCTGATGTATGTTCGATTTTCATTTTGAACTTGGCGGTCTCTTTCGGCCGATCCTCGCGGAACCGTTTCAACGCCCTCCCCAATTTATCGTACATGCGGCGGTCGAGTTCGGTCTGACGTGAGTCGATCGCGTGTTCAGTCAGGTTGTTTTGTTGGTTTATTATGTGCCGTGATGTTTCGATTTGATGGGTTGTTAGTCGAATTGCATGGCTGATGGCGCGCCCGACCAGACTGGGCGCGAAATGGGGAGGGCATGGTTAGCATAACTTGTGGAGATGTGGATACGAGTGGCGAGATCGATGGTCAACGAGGTCTGCCGACGGCCGTAAAAATCATTTCGCGCCAAGTCTGGTCAATTGCCCCACCAGCTCTGGATCCCACCCGCCAGCGATCCAGTCGGTGGCATCCTCCTTAGACATGTTCATCGTCGCTGGACTCTCCTCGGACACCCGGCTGCTTGTATCTGTCGGTTTTGAGCCTGAAGGGTTGGGTGGGTGGACATCGAGATTTGAGATTCGCACCGATGCCGTAGACCAGTTGTCCCTAGACTCCCGCCCTAGACTCTTGGTCCCAAGACGCCCGCCCAAGACTCCTTGGCCCTAGACGCCCCCCTAGACTCCCTGTCCCTAGACTCCAGCCCGAGACTCCTGGCCCTAGACTCCAGACTCCTAGACTCATGCCCGAGACTCACGCATTCCCTAGACCACCCGTGCCTAGACTCCCGCCCTAGACGCCTGCCCTAGAATTCCGCCCAAGACTCCTGGCCCCTAGACCCCCGCCCTAGACTCCGTGTCCCTAGACGCCCCTGGATTCCACTCCGAGGCAGCCCCGAGATGCCATTGCAAGCGGCCCGTGGGTGGCCCAGTGGCGGTGCCAAACGCGCCGTCACTTAGCCAGCGCTCCACGTCCCGTTCGCAATCCCTTCTCTGGGCACGCTTCGTGTGGACCAAGGTTCACCTTATGTATGGATGGAGGGCGGTTCGATGTCAGAATGCGGTGTGCTGTGCAGCTAGGTCACAGGCGTGTGTGCGTATGCGCGGGCGAGAGAGAGATGGGACGCGTGTGTGTGTGTGTGTGTGTGTGTGCGTGTATGGGTGTGTGTGTGTGACGAAATGGGTGTATGCTGTTGTGTGTGTGCGTTGCTAATGGTTGTGTGTGCGTGTGTATATATGTGTGTATGTGTGTGTGCGTGTGCGTGTGAGCGTGCGTGCGTACGTATAGGTACGGAGTTGCGTAGGTGGTTGTGTACGTGCCTGTGTTTCAAAGATGTCGGTTGGTGGGCGTGGGTTCACACTGTTAGTCTAGCACGCTTGTAAGCTACCACACAAGCATTGTATGACTGATCGGATTGCGTGGAACAGCTTAGGATGATGGAGATGTGTGTGAAGCATTTGCATGACTGAGCATGGCTGAGGGCGGCATGCGGCCCAAAACTCCTGCTCTGCGAGGCACGCCGCACGGCTGATCACCGTCGGTGAAAGCGAAAAAAAAAACAGCACAGCGAGCATCGCCGCATATGAAGGTAGGCGGTGCCATGAGCATACGTGTACAGTGTGCGTATATCATGTTTATTCATTGGTGTACACATAGTCACCCCTATATCGCTTGTCCTTCCTTCCCGAACGTCAATAGTCATATTAAAGTCGCGTGGCCAAACGCCCCGCGTCGCTCATGCCGCCAATTGCGACCTCAGCCAAGGCAGCACAAAAAGGCCCAGGGTATCGCGCTGAGTCCTTAAGACCATCTTTGTTGCCAGTCACCCAACCCCTGCGCTTCCAACCCTTCGTGACATCAGCGCTCGCCGATCGGGGAGTCATATCATAGATCGCACTCCCTGCGTCATCAGGCCGTTTGAAATCCTTAACCCCCTTGACCAGGCTATCAATCGCAACGTCACATGTAGCGTAAAACTCGAGGCGTTTGAGGGTCTTGTATCCGAACCCTCCCATGCACGAGGTGAAACGTACCACCCCCACTAGATCCATTGCACTTTGAAGGTCTGTCCACTTGTAAAGTAACGAATTCAACGGTTGCTCAATCACCACTCTCACACCCCGCGTGACCGAATACACCACCAATTGTGACCTTCGGAGGGAGGGTGGATGGCCCGCGCAAGCGGATCGTAATTGGCCCCAGCCCCGCACCGCCCCTCCGCACACCCGCGCCTCGTCGTCTTCTTTGTATCACATGTTCACCAGCATCATACAAGGTCACGTCGCCGCCCGTCCACCAACCGTGAGCGGGTGGCATTGATGCCGACGGGGCATGCGTAGAGGCGCGGGGGAAGGGGCGGTGATGGGCGGGGGGCAATTGCTGTCATAACACGCGCACACGACAACCAACATTCAACGGATGCGTTGAATGCACGTTGACGGTGCGTTGATGGACGTGCGCGTGCATTGCCAACCTCCAAAATTAAAGGAGTTCGGCATGCCAGCGTTGAGCGTACATCCCCTCTCCCCCTCATCGGCACCATGTCCTGTTCATAGGTTTCACCCCGCGTCGTATTCCCACGCCCCTGTCACGTGTTACACCACCTACACCATTCAAGAGCCCCTATTAACAACATTAGCTCGTGTCGTCAATAGGTTTGGGGGTAGTGATTGTCTTGTGGTGTTACCCAGCCCCCTGACAAGATGAAAGCTGTCCAGTTTGCCTCCCTCACGCCCTCGCGTCCCACATCGCCCTCGATAGAGTTGTTGCGCCGGCCACTGTGGCCGCGAGCCATTCCAATCCAAGAGCTGCATTGTGGCGAGCAATGTAGTAGGCCAGACCGACTCACAGCTGTGACCAGATAGAATGCGTACATGATCCCCCCCACTGTGCATATGTTCTGTAACTCATCGCCGTGCTTCCTATCGAACGCGTACGCGCGATATCCCCGACGAGTAACGCAAGCGGTGGTGTCAGCATAACCTGCAAATAATTCTGCAAAGGCAACGGTGCGAGCGATAGTAGGCGCCTTCTCCAGCACCTCACGAAATAATTCGTTGTAGGTCGATAGCTTGACATCAGGGCTCGCAAATTTGCACACATAGCCACGTTCAGAATAGAACTCAGCGCGGGATCGGGCCCAACGACGGGCCTCCTCAAACACTGGATGCTCAGGATGATCAGCAATGCAGCACGCGGGCCTCTTTGAGGCCTTCTTACCTGCCCCGACCAGACGCACCAGCAATGCCAATGTTAGTAGCCACGCACCAGCGCGAGCCATTCCCCCCCTGGTATATATGGAATCAGGTTCAACTGGGATTGCAGATCTATGAATGTGTGGATCCTCTTGTAAAACGTAAGCCTATGAGCGAAGCGCGCAATGTTCCTCACTGGCAGATTCAATGTTTCGTCAATGAAACAGTTGTACATTTTCAGGGAGCCGTGATCTTGGATCCTGGTCCAGAGAGTGATGCCGCGCACCCGTTTGCCACCCGCGTTGCCTCCGCCCCCGCTACGCCGAGAGATAGATGTAGCAGGTTTAACTGCGTCTGGTCGAGGGCGCGGGGCCCAGTGCCAGAGGGCGGAGGCGGCG